CTGGGTAGTGGCAAGTATGTTTTCCTCATGGATTTGAACACTTCATGTTGCATCACAAATGAAAATCTGAAAGTGTAACACCAATTTCCTCATGATTAAGTCAATGAGACCATGAGGATAAGTGTTTTGCAAGAAACTTCTCCCATATTGCATTTAATATGTGACACCAACTATGATTTTAAGATACTTTTCAGTTAAAATGTGCATGCAACAGCAGGTGATGCTATTGCACTTAGTAGTACTTTGAGGAGAGCATGAGAATATAATTGAGAAATAGTTTGAGTGATTATTTTGTATATGGACTGCACCACAGGTTTTATGAGGATTCAAGTTTTTTAGTAAGTCATGTTACAGTGAATTCAATAATACAGGAATATTGAATTTAATTGACTTTTTTTTAAAAAATTAAATGATCACTTACACATATCACAATTATTCCTGCAACATGTTTCAGGATGAGGGACCAGAAAGTTCTTCACAGTGCACTGGCTTATTCTGCGATAAGAAAGACTACAGCAAGTAGAGAGTGTTTTTAAGCAAGTGGTGTGTTTTGAAATAGAAGTTATGAGAAATGAAAATACAGCTTACAAAGAAATTTTGAATGTAACAGCTCTTCATGCAAGTAAGCTTTGGGGTGAAGACTTATAGTCTTATGGTCAATTTTTGCCACTTTGTTTTTTCCAATGAAAAATTGATTGTCAGGATTTATACAACTTGGAACTGCGAAGAATTGAATTGATCCTCTGAAATTTACAGTTCTGGGGTTATCAACATATCAAGACTGCTGATTATTGCACTAAACATCTTCCATCCTCAACTGAAGCTGCAAATGATAGAGGAGCCTTTACACTTCTTAAATTTATTTAAGCCAAACTAGAAGCAGGCAAATGTTGTGATTTGAGCCAGTAGGGAACATATTTGGGATTTAAATATGAATGTAGGAAAAGAATAAATCTGAGTGACTAATGAGAAAGTCTTTCCTTGTGTTTATATTGAGTGAATATATCAAAGTGCTGTTTAAAGACGACTGATTTAAACAGCAGCAGTGGGTAGGCGACTGTAAGCTTGGTAAGTCTGAGACTTTTCAATTTATTTGAACTACCACTGTTACTCGAGGAGGCTAATTACAACACATAGCTGAATGGTCAAAACCATAGATCTGCATGTTTAATGTTCTGAAGTGTCAGATATGTATGCATTTAAGATTAATATTTCTTTTAAGTTATCTTGAAAAAATAATGAAAACCTGTGTTGGCCATTATAGTTGATCTAAAGATGTAAAATCCATTCATCACTTACAATCTAATAAAAAAAGCATTTTCAATCAAGTCCTTGTTCTTCAAAATGAAATCCTGTTTCTCTGAACTTATAAGCCACTTTTCCTTTGCATGAAATCCTCACCAGAAGTTGGTAATAGTCCAGACAAAAAGATAGGAAGAAGACTTTGGGCCGGTGCTGCAGATCATCACCAGTGAGGACCACAGGCAGAGGTCCTGAATTCCAGTCAGACTTGAAGTCTAGTACTCTTTGAGGAGCCTTCTAGTAGGAAACCCACCACATGTTCATGTGAACTCTGCTCGTTACTGCAGTTAGGATTTAGCCCCAGTGTTTTGTGGCTCCCGAACCTGCAGACATCATCTTCAGACCTTTTTCTTAATGCTGTAACACCAGAGTTGCTTGGCGGTGACAGCCAGAGCCCTTGAGCTGCTATTAGGATGCAGCTTGGGCTGTCCAGCCTGCGGGTGGGAGGCTGGAGTCGTCATGCCTGGGGCAAAGGCACATACCAGATGTGATGGTTCTTGATTCCCGTCTGATTAAATGGGTGGATTTACCTAGTTTGGGTCTTCCTTTATTGTGGACAATAGGGTGTTAAGATTTCATTTCTGCTAAGTGAGACCATATTTACGTGAGTTCAGTTAAAAGCTGTATCTGTGACTCCTCTTTGGATATCAAGTATTGCATGGTTCCAAGCTAATTACGTTAATCAGTCCTGCTCTTCTCTGTATCCCCTAAATTAATATTGCTTGACCTATTAAAGGAAAGCCGACATCTTAGGGCTGGATGTGGCTGTATTATGTCAATATTGTTTACTATTTCACTTTATTACTTGAAGTACACAGATAAAAACATCGAAAAATACAAGTTTAAATAGGCTAGGGACAGTGGGAGAAGATTCAATGTTAAAAGAAATAATGAAGGTACAACAAAATTAGATTGGCTGGGGAAGGAAGGGGAAGATTCATCATTACAAAGGGAAAAAAGAAGGTACAATAAGTTTACATTGATTAATAGACATTAATTGATTTTGTGTCTGATCCCACCTAATCCTTTTTAGAACAAAACCCCAAATCTGTAAGGTGCTTCTATATAGAAAACACATACACTAAATGGAAATGTACTTATTTTAAATGTCTTTGGGGGTTGGAGAGAGTTTGTTTGCCCACTATGCCTTTCCCTCTGTATTTGCAGAATAGATTGGAGTATTATGTATGTGAGTACATGGGCGTAGTTAGTGCCATCTAGTTAATTGAGAGGAAGATCTCCAGGAACTCCTGCGTTCCAGTCCAGTGAGTTGCTGCGCAGCCCGGGGCGATTCCCTCAGCTTCTGCGCGGCAGCATCTCGGGGAATAAAAACATGGGACTGGCTTAATGCGCTCCTGTGGAATTTCAGGGCTTAAAACTTATAGGTATGTGGTATTAGTGCATAGCTGTGCAGCTAAGAAAATAATGAGGAATGTGGTCATAAATTTGCTGCTGGATTAATTTAGCGAGGGAGTATGGTGTCTGCTTCCCAGGGCAAAAGAGCCGCTTTCCACTGCTCGGTAGGTTCAGCCATGACTTTTGCTTGCACACCGGTGGTAACTTGCAAAATTAGCAAAGAGCAATTCCTTAATAAATCGTTGCGATTCATTCTTCCTTTGAGAGAAAATAAGATTTGACTAATCTTTCGTGTGCTTAGCTTCCATGCCAGATTAGCAAATGTGAAAATAAATTGCCAAGCGGTACCAGTTGAGCAGCGGAGTTGCTGTGTGCGGTGCGAGTCCGTTGGGGTGCGGAGGTGTCAGATGGGTACGTTGCATGCTGCTGGAGACACTGGGGGAAGAAGCCTCTCCAGTACGCTCAGCCAGGTGCTGGAATCATCTTGTAGGGCCAACAAGAATGAGGCGGCTGGGCGCTCGTCTCGCTGTGTGAGACTGCTGCTTCTGGTGGGGGTATGCAGTGCCTGCAGCCGAGGAGGCTATTCAGAAATTTGGTGTGGGGAGAGAAGAAGGGGTTGCTAAAGAATTGAAAATTTTAATTAGCAATCTTGGTACTTAAAACCAAATGAAGCAACAAAAAAACTCAAGCAGATTATCAAATTAAATTTTTTTTCTTCCCCTTTGCTTAGGTTTTTTTTTTTTTTTTTAATTCTGTTCAAATGAGCTTAATTTTGTGGTGATATTTGGCATGCAAAGGGCTTACTGTCAGTTTGTTAATTTAGTTATATGGGAATGTGTATGATATTATGATTTTTATAGCACCTACAACCTCAGCACTGAATATAGGCTATTTCTAGAGCGTTAGATGTTAAGCGGATTTTTTTTTATTTTGATGTTTTACGTCAAGAAAACTTTCAGATGCTTGGAAGTTGCTTCTAAATGAACGCATTATGCTTTTTGTAATGCTGTTCTAAAGGAGCACTCTTTTTGGTTTTGAAATTGGTTTCTAGGCTGTGTACTGGAAACTTTGACTTGTGTGTGTGGTCTCTGAAAAGGTGGTGGTTGGAGCAAGCTTTTCCATTAGATGAAGTCATTCAAATTTGATTATTCAAAAAACTTCTGAATTTGAAACTGCATCTTTTAAATAAAATAAATGAGATCAAATATAATTTAAGCATTTTGCATCAGACTGTGCTTACATTGGCTGGAGCAAAAACTACTTTTGTAGCCTTCTCCAGTGGTTTCTTTTGCCCTTGCACAGGTTTGATAGTGGTCTAAAGCGGTGGGTTTTAATGTCTGCTATAGACAGCTATAAGGATGTGGGGAGGATTTTTTTTCATAGTATCAAGACTCAGTGGGAACTTTTTTTTTAAAGGATTTCACAGTGCCTGCTTTTTAGTCCCTTTTTAAACAAGGTTTTTGTTGGGTGTGTTATTTATCTGATCTGTAGAGCAGAAAAAGGGAGCCTTGCTGCTTACAGATGAGCTGCTATGTTTTCAGAAGCTGCAGGTGATGCAGGCAAAGGAAGGCAGGCTCATTCGGCATCAAAGTCATCCAGTTACTTTTGACAAGAAAAGCGCAAGTTTCTTTGATAAGAAAAACACAAGATAGAGCCCTCAGAATGAAACTAAAATAATACAAAGTCTGAAAATGTATCTGTTCAAAGGCTGCTTTTCAAGCTTTCAATTCATAACCTGCCTTGGCTAAAAAGTGAAAGGAATGTATTTTGTAATATTAATTAGAGACCTAGTAATAAAGCTGATTTTGTTGGGGTTTTTTTCTACAACCTTCTCCCTGTTAATCAGAGCAAGTTTTGTAGTGTTTTGAGAAAACGGAATTTAAATCTCCTAAGTCAAGCAAAGTCTCAATGCCTTTCACAGGACACAGTAGTAAAGAAGGAAAACCTTACGGGGTATTTCAGCTAACAGTAGTATGGTCGAATAAACAAAACACAAATTTCACTTACGTTTCAGTTCAGTTGTACAGCACAGGGTTCTTTTACTAAAGAAAAAAAATAAAACTTTCCTTGTCTTTTGAAGTTGTGCAACTACTTTGATTTAGAAGGTTTAAGATTGAAATAACTGTAGTTCTGTACTTAAAATGTTGTGAGTTTTACTGTGTTTAAAAAAATAAATTCCAAGGGTTCCTGTGTGCCATTGTCTTAATTCTCTAAAGTTCAGAATTCTTGTTTACTCATTACTATGTATTGCTACTGTAAATTATTACTTGTAATAACCTATACAGAAATGATTTTATGCCAAGATTAACCAAGAGTAATATGAACTTTGTCTTTGTTTCCAGTCCAGAGGAGCTTCCTGTCCATGATGTAGCGATAGAAAAGGTAAGTCCAGTGTCTTCCAGTTTTTTGACTAGGAAGTAAATGTTTACAGATTTATGACTTTTTTTAATATAAATCATTGTGAAAGGAGGAGGTGAAACATTTTAGTGATTTGCATTCCCAAAGAAACATGTTCTGAGTCCCATAAGGACTCTGGTCCTTGAGGCTGTGTTAACTCACCCGCAGATCCTTTGGGGCCCACGTGATTTTACGTTTAATAGTTGCAATGAGCCATGAGTTTTCCTCACCCATTATATGACCTAGTAAAGGAAACGGAGCTACGTAAGAGGTCACACCCGGCTCTGCCCTGAAAGAGCGAGAGCTATTGTCTCTGTGTCACGAGCTGTCATCAGCTGAGCTGGGTGGGTGGTTTGTCCAAGTGAGGAGGTGGCTTTGATGCTGAGGTGTACGTTGCTGTCCCCTGGGGAGTGTAGCGTACTTTTCTAGTTCGGTAAATGGTGACAAATATCCTGGCTGCCACTGAAATGTGGTGACCTCCCTTGTAATGTTCAGATGATGGGCCAGGTGTATTCTTGGACGTGCAAGACCTGTTAGCAGCTGGTGCACACCCTAGTCCAAAAATCCTTCTGGTGCTGGGAGGATACTGGAGGAGAAGTTTGGGAACTGGCTTTCTGAGAACATGGAACGCTTTAATTAAAATCATCGGGAACTGAATTTCTGCTTGTCTGGGCCTAGATACTACTGGTATTTCCCCGTGGACTGTCAGGCCCATTGTTATCTCCAAAACCAGATCAGATATTTCTTGTTTGTCCATATTGATCTCCTGTATCATCAGAAAACTAATGATGAAATATTTCAAGCTGTAAGTTTAAAGTTAGCGCGCTTGGCTGCACAAATCAGTGGAGTGCATGGAAGACGTATGGAGTGATTTCTTCTAAGGCAGCTCAGCTCCCTGAGTGTTAAGAGCAGCAGTGTTTCTAAAAATGAATTTTTTTGAGCTTCAGTATTGGGCTAGTAAGAAGAACTTCTCATGAAAAAAGGGAACTTCTGAGTCCCTTTTGCTTTGCATTGGTTCGTGTGCATTTCTGCATACGCAGCCTTAAATAGTTGCAGTTTCCTGCCGTGTTCCATTACATTTAATAACACGGTGAGTGTATATATCATTTCATTTCCATCAAAAAGACACAACAGGTTGGTGAGTCTATGAGCATAAATATTAGACAGCTTGCAGTTATTGTGGTATATGTGTTTTGAAGCTCTGATTCACTGTGGCTTTGTAATGTGCCTTGAACTATTGGGGGAAAATGGTGTCTCTGTTCTCTGTCCCATGTTGCATTCATGCTGTCTCAGACAAAATGTCAGCATAGAAGCTGTATTTATTGAATCAATGTTAAATTGCAAACCTAGTGTCTTTTCATAATCATAGAGTAATGCTCCTGTATTAGACTCTCAGTTATACTCCTGATGATATCCTGACCTCTGCTGGTTTGAGGTTTATCTGTCTTCTGTCAGCGGTGTTTGAATCTTTACAATTTTCAGGATACCATTCACAGGATAATTAATGTGTCATCTTTATGTAGGCTCACACTAAAAACTTTCTGTGCAATATCTTTTAAAGTCACTTATTTGGCAAAACTATTTATGCTTTTCTTTTTGCCTTACTTGTGAATTTTAAAAGAATATTCCTAAGTCATGTTTTCATTTAGTTTGCAAATTATGTAAAGGGTTGTGTGTCCTTGTGAATTTTGAATCGCTCTTCTTCATATACATTCTAGTGTAAAGCTTAAGCTGGGGTTTTTCTGTCTGTGTATTTGTGTGTGTGTATTTACGTGCATAATACTTTTAGGTTAGGCATTATTACTGTGAATGCAGAGTAATTTTGATGCTTCGTTACCTTGCTGGGCATTGGGTGGCTTCAATGCACGGAATCATTGTCCTACATTATGAACTACTTAACCTTCAGATGGATCATACAGCACATCTGGGCTAAAACTAGGGGAGGAAAGATCATCTAGAAGAGAAAAGTGGACAGAGACCTGACCTCAGGAAATCTGGAGTCTGTGTCTGACTCTGTTTTTGAAGTGCTATGAAATGTTTTGTTAAGTCATTTTCAGTTTGTTTGGTTTTGTCTTTGGTTTACTTGATTATAAATTCTCCAGGGAACTGTTCAGTGAGCTCTGGTTTTGTCTGAGGCTTCTGCTAAAGCATTGCTTTAAGCCTCAGCTGTAGCACACTTGCTCTCCAGGCAGGTGGAGTGCTGTACAAAAGATGGATACGTGCCAACTTAACTTCATGCTTTTTTGCTTTCAGTAGTGTATTATTTACTGACACAAGAGTGAGAAACCTTCTCTGCTTCAGTTAAGGATTCTGTTATTCCCAATGGCAAAAATGCTTCAAAGTGTAAAATGTACTCTGAAGACAGATAAACAGATTTTTTTTTATTTTTTTTTTTGTGACAACTACATGGAACTTGCCTGAAAGAGCAGCAGCATCCGTCTACTCTGCAATGGGCCATGTCAAAGCTATCCATGTTTTCAGTGTTGCACCTGTTAGACATGAAAGTGAACATAATTCAGACTAGGAAAAAAAATAGCTGAAAGTTTTCAACAACTGAACACAGAAATAATTGCTATTTTGACTACAGTAGCATCACTTGAGACTGGGATAAATTGACACAGAAGACATAAAAGCTTGAACAAACCTACAATTGAAGTGAGCTGCTGGCTCAAAAGACCGAAAATCTTGAAAGTAGATCAAACATACAAACAAAAGACTGTGGGAGCAGATAGGGTTTTATTTTTCTTACCAATTATCTGAACAACCTGTTGAGGGCAGAGACCTTTCCTGACTTGATAGCAGTGTTATTCCTGCAATCTAAACTATGCCTGGAGAGCATCGGCTTTAGAGATGTTAGAAATGCTTATTTCTTAAAAGGGTTGCAAGTGTAGAGGAGAATTGGAAACAAGGTTGGGAAACCTATGAAATATGGGAAGCAGTAGTTTTTCTACAGTTCCCATCAACATCTTAAGAAAAATGTTTAACCCAAATATTTTTAAAAAATTAAAAAAGAAAAAAAAAGAAAAAACAAGTGGTTGAGATATTGCCAAATAGAGCACGGAACCTGAAAAGGAATGTGGGCAGTTGATTGCAACAAGAGTAGTTAGATAAGTTAAGATTGAGAGAGTAGAGGTGCTTCTTTCCCCATAACTTTCTTATGTCAAGCTTATGTCAGTTGAATTCAAATAAAAATAACTTAAGAAACCAAAACCAACTTGTTATTTCCGGGACACTTCATGGACTGAATCGTGGTTGGGGTGGACCTAAGCAGTCATCAGGTCGTACTTCTACAGGTGGAAGGCTTTGGGCTCCCGGATTAAAGAAGTGCTTTGCCCATCTTGTTGCATTAATGGCCAAGAGAGAATGCACAAATTCTGATGAGTAAAAGCTAGAAGTAAAATTAGAATTCTATTGAGACAATAAGTAATAATTTTCTCTTCTATTTTTCCCCAACATTTCAGATACAGTTAATGAAAATATTAATAAGTTTTCAGTATCCTGCAGAGCTTTGAAATTAAACTCTTACATTGTTCCTGGGTTGCATCACTAACCACATGAAACAAAATATCCTTCCTGTCTTTATTACACCTTGGATCTGGAGGTAGAGGGGCTGTCCCTGACTATAATCAAATATTTATTTTGTAATCTTTGAAGAGAAAGCCATAGCCGCACACATACATTTTTCTGCTTTAGCTATTCCAGTGTTGATCCTTGCCTCCAAAGCCTTATGAAAGAGCTGAAATAGTGTTGTTAAAATAAATAAATAAATAAATAAGTTACAGTTAATGGTTAACTTTGTAGTATAATCAGAGACACCTCGCCTACTTTACAGTATGTAAAACTGGGCTGTAAAAAATACATACTAAAAATCTTCTTATCATTGGAGCCAAGAAAATACAGATTTTTGGCTGTGAAGAGCCAAAGTGAAATTCCAGGGATTAAAAAAACCTAATTCCAAGTGCTTGTTTGGTTCCCAAATTCAAGAAGTTGATGGCAATTGTAGCAAGGTTTTCATAGGCAGAATGGCAATCTTTACAGTAGTAGGGTTGTCCCACGATTTTAAAGGTGTATATAATATAAATACAGTGAGGAATTCACATATTTATTATGTTACATGTGATACTGCTTGATATAACTGTTTATTTTGAGAAGATAGGGATCGTTTTGGTTTGAATTCTCATTTTATCATCTTGAAGTGAAACCCTTGTTGTTAAGATATAGGGCCATTTAAGTAGAAATGTACTGAGCTAAGGGTGAGAATTACAGCAAGGCTTTCAATATCCAAAATCAGAACTTGTTCCCATTTCTGCTACTGCACTGTCACTCTTGCATGCACTTGTTTCTGTTCATGTACTTTGTACCTTTTTAACTTTGTGCCTTTTAAGGAGTGGTTTGTGTGATCACTAGAAAACAGTCACTAATTGTGATTAGGGCAAGTCTGGGTAAAGATGATCATCATTTCGGAGTCAACTAGCTTTTAAAAAGGTTGTATCAAAAATTATTTGCTTGAAAATTTACTGTGTATAAAAAAAATACTGAATTTTTTGTTCTTGCCAAAAATGTTCAGAGAAGAAACCTTTATAAATCTTGTACTTAAACTTCTCTTACAAAATACAATTCTTTACATAGGGCTGAAATATTAAGGTTTTCTGCTTGGTTTTTTGTTGGCTGTTTTTTTGGATGTTTTAAGTAAACTGATGTTACTCGTTGTTGCCATTCTTAGATAACTGGATAAAAAGTTGATGATGCTGTGTTAAACTTTTACTCAGTATTTTTAGAAATATATAAATAATTTAAAATGTATTCATTTTGAAAAGACTGAAAAATTCTAATTTCTTTTCAGCAAAAGCACCTTGAAATCGAAAGAACTACAAAATGGCTTAAGATGCTGAAAAGCTGGGAAAAATACAAGAATAGTGAAAAGGTAAAGTTATGCATGCTTTTTTTCATGAGCTCTCGCTTCTGAATGAATATATAACCTTAAATTAGATTGTCTCTGTTTATGAGATCTGAAAAAAAAAAAATTACACTGAAAGAAAAAGGCTTTTTATTCTTCCAAAATGCAATAATGCATAATAACCCAATAACAGTAATAATCTAACAAAACTGATGGTAATGCAAGGAATTTCTAAGGGTGGTATTACTTAGACTCTCTAACATATTCGTAGTAATAATTGTGTGCTGTCCTGCATTGCGCTTGCACGGTGGGGTTGGAACTAGGATCACACGGCATTCTCTGTTCACCTCTGCAAAATAACCTGTGGAACAGATGAAGCACCAGACCTGCTTGTCTTGTCTGGCAGAGAGCTGGAAGTTGTATTTGATTTACACTTTGGGAATGTGAAAGAGGAAAACCAGAAAAATCTTTGTAAACTTGAAAAGAGGGTACAGCTTTAAATGGGTACAGCTGTTTGCAGCCCAGGTTTACTGGAGGGCCTAGGATAGCTTACAGTCATGGATCAGTGAAAACCACCTTGAATAACTCTCCAAGGAAACTGATTAGTTATAAAATGGGGCGTATAGTTTGATGTTTAAATTATCATGCTTGCCAGCACAGATATCTTAGGATATCCCAAGATACGCGGTTGCTTTGTTCAAAGGAGAGTTGCACTGAGTAAGTTAAAAGGTAAAAGGTATAGGAAGCAGTTCAGTGCCCTGTCCCCCTTGGGATGTCTGTTTTTTTCTGTGAATAATATGCAGTGCAGCATTCATAATCTTCAAGAGAAGTGAATTTTTTGGGTGGTATGAATGGGATCTACTTTTGAATAGAATGCTTCACACCTTGATAGGCTGCTTTTATTTTGGAATCAATATGGAAGAACTGAAATGTTCTGGCAGCTACTTAACAGTGCTTATTCTTGACATTTAAAAAAAAAAAAAGGAGTAAATTTATTTTCTATGTGAAATTGCAGATGAATTCTAAGGAAGTGAATTGCCCGTTAATAATCTTTAAATTGCTTTGGGGATTTTTAGTTACAGAATTACTTTTATCCTTCTCGGACAACAAATAATGATCCGGGGGTAATGACAGAAAGTGGGTTGTGTTAGGTGTGCCATTAAGTGCTAAGTGCTTTTACTTGCTTTAAAAGCTAGGTAGGGATTTTAATATGAAGAGTTTATTTGCTGGAATTGTAGTCTTGGTCATCTTAATATTATGGAAGAATTTCAAGTGGGGAAAAACTTGCTGGAGCGGCTCTATTCCCAACGCTGTGTTCTGGGGAGGTTTTTGTAACTGTTCTTGTGGCCGTTTGGTCAATAATGAACAGAATATGTGGTTCCCAAGTGCAAATTCCATCTTCTCCACAACAGAGCTTAAAACTTGCATGTTTTATTGGGGATTCTGGTGGTATTTTCTGATGCTGCTGATTCACCTGTATTTTGCTGAGGACTAGAGGACAACTGTTATGCATCCCAGGTTACTGCCTGGATGACTGTCTGTTACAGTTTGAGAAACCCATACAAATTTATTGTCGTTTAGACAATCGTTCTGTCACCTGATGACCCCTCCCCACCCAGGAAGTGGGATCGGAGGAAAAAGCAAGGAAACCCAGGAGCTGAAATATAAACAGATTTAATAGAATAAGATTAGATAACTAACATTAATAGCACTAAAGAACCAATATTGATCCGGATACTAGTACAGAATATGCAAAGGTTATACTCAGGCCATTCCTTATCCATAGGAAGCTGTGCACTCCCAGCAGTGGACAGTAAATGTCGGACACTGCGAGCGCTACAGCTTCAGGAGGCCTTCGCTAAGGCCTCAGGGGTCCAGCACTGGGGCAAGAAGTTCACAGAATGGCAGCCATCAAGGGAGAGAGTGAACTTCACAGCAAACTTTCTAATTTATATTGAATGTGACATTCATGGTATGAAATAATCCTGTTGGCCAGCTTGTGTCAAGTGCTCAGGTCTCGCTCCTCCTGATCCTGACAAGCTCGAAAATGCTGAGACCTTGAAACCCACACACCATAGCTGGCTATAAAGTAAACATTTTCACAAATTCAGGCACTAGAGTCTTCTGAAAGTGCAGTCACCCCAAGTATTAGAAGATAAATTAGTCCTGTGTCGCTCAAACCAGGACACTGGCCTGCAGCATTAGCTTACTCCCTTGCTATGCTTTTGTTTTAGTAAATTATTATGTGTGAAGCGGAAAACTTTAAAGGGAGAGATTGAGACCAGAATAATTGTTAGCCTGATGAGCAGGGAATGGAGATACTACAATTCAAGTAGAGGGAGAAGTTTACTCAGCATGTCCCCTGCTCATCATGTCTGCTTTCTGCCTGTGGTTTTGTGACTAGTACCTATGTCTTGCACTTTGCTTTTCTTAAAAATACCAACTGTTGATGTTTTTTCAAAGTATAACTAAGAAGCTAGCAAATTCGTATTTTTTAAATATGAAGTAAATGCCTGAAAAAGTAATAATTTGTTTCCCAAGTTTTTCTTATAATCCTACTTTCTGTCCTGTTATCTTCTCTGGAAGGAGAAGCTAGAAGTCATAACAGTTGTGGCTTTGTTTCTTTACTGTGGTGACTGGCTGATCTGAAGATCAAGTATGTTCCCAAATCAAAGGGATGATCCAAAAAACTGTGTAACAGCTACTTTGTTTGCAAAGAGAATGTTAAATATGACCTTTCAGGCAATACAATAGCTATGCATTGTCTAAGCAGCCGCAGTCTTCCTCTTCAGCCATCAGTGACGTCAGTCCATGATACACTGACTTAACTGAATAATCCTCTATTCACCAAACACGCAGAAGGTACAGCAGATCGGCTAAGCAGAAAGAGTTTCAGTTCATGTAACAAATTACAGGCTGAACTATAAATAGTGACAGGAATAATTCAATATGTTCATAAAGGGGATGAACTTTGCTTGAGGGTAGGAAAAACTTTCAGTGATTGTCAAACTCTGGTGGAGCACATGAGGCTTTAAAAACAAGGGTGTTTTCCTTATTCTTTCTCACATCTTATGCGGTAAGTGAACCAGAACATACAGAATAAAGAAACAGCCTCTTCCTCCTCCCCAGCATGCAGTGGAAAGTCAGACGTTATTTGTCACTGCTCTTTATGGAAAGCCTCGTGATATTCTCAGGGTTGTACAAAACTCACAAATAAAGACAGTTTTTATCTGAAAGTGTATTGGAATAAGGCACCGGCTTTCCACTCTTGCCTTCTTGAAGCACGGAAGCAATAGTTACAGGAACAATTCCAGCTCCTGCTTTCTGTCTTCACTTGATTGGATAAAGTGGTTAACACTAGAGGAACAAATTGCTAAAGAAAATGAACAGCCTGTATCTTAAAAGACCCACTTCACCTGACATTCCCATAGTTTCTGTGCAGTCAGACTGCTCCTGAAACCAGCTTTGTTTAGAAACAGCACTGAAGGGAACATTCAGCAGCAACAACAGCAGTAGTAATCTTGTAGGGTTATAGTTTATAATTGTATTGATGGCTTGGTTTGGAAAGTGGGATACTTAAGAGATGCCAGTGCTCTTAAAAAGAGAGCAAGGGAGAGTCAGAGAAGGTGACGGTCCCAGGGATAGAGCAGGTATGTACAAAGTACAGGACTTTAGACAGCTTGTTTGTAATGAGCCTTCATAAATACAGCTGAGAGAGTTTTTGCTTAAAGAAATCTATTCATACTGTACACATACTGTTAATGAATCCATATATTTGATTACATTATCCAAAACTGTCATATACTTAATTGCAAAATACAGTTTTCATTTAATACTCTTGCAGAGCTGCGTATAGGCTGCTTCCTTACTTTTTTCCATTGTAACTTCACAAGGAGAATTGATGAGAAAACATTAACACATTGATGTGTGCATGCAAGATGCTTCAGTTTACATCTTCCCCTGATCTTTATTGCAGAAGAATGTCTCAATGGAGAGACGGGGCTCTGGGAACTTCACAGTGTTTTCCCATTAGAACTTCTGTGCTTAAACCTAATAAAAAAAAAAAAAAAAGAGGGGGAATGAGAATGGAGGGCAGCAATGTGTGACAATGAGGAACTGGAAAGAGATGGAAGAGTTGTCACACTGAGACCAGAAACGTGCCAGTCTCTACTGTAGCTGAGTAATGATTTAGAGGTAATGAAGGATGACATAATAAAATGAACCCATGTACAACTCCATAACTGTGTATAAAACTCCTTGATTCCTATATGATTATTTAGGCATCTTTTCAGTGGAGTCATCATGATTCTTACAGACACCAGTCTCTGAAGTGTGTAACTGCCTTTGTGTCTTTGTGTGATTGATATTTGTCAAAACAAAGCTTTTGTCTCCCCATCAGTCATTTCTTATGCAGAAGGTGTTGGAGAGCAGCAAAGTTTGTGTGTCAGTGTGGTCTTTCTCTAGCTTATGGTTTTATTTCCTATTTGTATTCTACTGCTTAATAATCCAGGGTACAATCAACCATCACAGATAGTAAATCCTTCCTGGCTTAGTATAATCATAACTTTCAGGAAAGATTAAATAAAACTGTTATGTGTTATATTCCCATTTGAGTATTTCCACCAAAGTATTTCTGTCTTTCACTGTCTACCTTCATCTATCTGTGATTGAAGTTGCCTAAATTGAGAGGGAAAGAAAGAAGAGAAACAGTCACGTTAGCTGGCAATTTCCAGCTGTTCTGGTATTCACACAGAATATAATAATCAAGACTCCACTTAGTTTGGAGTCTGAACACAGAGCCTTAATGAAGAACCCTCTTCACATTCCTGAGACTTTTTGAATGAGATTGAGCAACTCTTGTATTTTCACTTTTTCTTCCTTTTATGCAACCCACAGAAGCTGAAGAACCTCTAAAGGCAGCAGCCTTTATAAATATACTTTCTTTTCATTATAAATATACTTTCTTGTGCGACTTCACATTTTAATTCTTATACTTCTCATCACTGATTCTTTTTGAGGTGGCAGAG